AGGGCTCAGCAGGGATTAGCTATCTATAAAGGCCTGTAATGGACCCTCCCAGGGAGAGGAGTTGGGAAGACAGACTGTGTGGGGAAGTAGGTCTCCCTGTGGGGGTTTTGTAGTGCTGGCTTTAGTGAGCATTTGCTATGTGCAGGACATCTGTCAAAGGTTCTACTTTCCACAACATACATGTAAAGAGGAACCATCATTATCCCCAATTTAACAAAAAGAAACAGCGCTTGGGAAGGTATTGCAGCTTGCCTAAGATCCCGCAGACAATCAGGGAAACCCAAAGCCCATTCACATAGTGATTTGCAGGACACAAGGCCTAAAGTGGAAAGTGGGACTCTGGGGTTCTAGAACTTTATAGCAAAAGGACTACGTGAGGCTCAGCCTTGGGTTACAGGGGCAAAGGCCTGGCCAGGTGCCAGAGAGCAAAAGTGAGAAGGGAGCCCCAGTGAGTGATCTGTGAGGAAGAAGAGAAGTAGTCGAGCGAGCTCGGCTTCCCTGAATCCCCAGCATTGAAGACTTGATCAAATCTGACCTGAATCTGCCACCTGTCCACCCTTTTCTTCCAGGTTGCCAATGTCCTGACCATCCCCACTCCCCACTCCATACCTCAGCCCACACTCATGGCTCCTGGGACCTCTTCTTCCCTGGGCCCCAGGCAGCCCATTACACTCCCCTCATCTGCCCTCCTAGACAAAACAGGCTTTGCCTGGCTTATGTCCTGCCAGCACACTGTACTAAGGCCACCCAAGCCTGCAGAGGCTCAGAGAGGTCCCCGGGATGTGCTTCCAAGCTCCCCTCACTCACCTGCCTAAACCCAAAGCCCACAGAGCTTGTATACACACCTAGATAAGATGTCAGGATCCCTCCCTCCAGCAGGTGATGAACATTTACATAAATAACCTGGGTTCAAGGGAAGCTGATGGCAGTCTAGAAGGTACATCAAAAGCCTGGGCAAGCTGGGCACGGTGGCACGGGCCTGTAATCCCAGTGGCTCAGGAGGCTGAGGCAGGAGAATCTCGAGTTCAAACCCACCCTCGTCAAGGAGAAGGTGCTTAGCAGCTCAGGGAGACCCTGTCTCTAAATAAAATACAAAATAGGGCTGGGGATGTGGCTCAGTGGTCAAGTGCTCCTGGTTCAATCCCAGTACCCACCCCGCCTCCCCCCATAAAAAGCCTGGGCAAACTCAAAGGGAAAAGGCCCAGAGCAAGGAGATAGAGAGACAGGTAGAGGAAAAGACAAGTGATCTAGGAAGGAGGAAGGAGGAGGGCAAGGAAAGGGTCTCAAATACTCAAGGGCAAAGGTGGACAAAGCACCTGCTGCTCTTGTGCAGCAGCTCTGGACTGGGGCCTGAGAAGGAGTGGTACTTGCAAAATCAGTGGTCCAGGTGGGCTCTGAGCTCTAGCACAAGGTAGTATGATTGGATGGGTGGTAAGGACTGCCTATGCCCCAACTGCCTCTTATGTTAAAAGCACCTACTTTTAATTGTGGCCTGGCCACTCTTATCATTGCAGCAAGGATGGGCTTGGTGTATAGGCCCAGCTCCTACTGAAGAGGCTGACAAAACTACTGCGTGGGGAGACCTTGACCACACAAAGGAACATGGTGAGACTCATGGCCATGTGTCAGGGTCCTATAAATAACTGCCACTGCCCCTTCCTTTAATGAGCATCTGCTGGGCATGCCAGTGCAGTGTGTGCATGGACAGCCCTGGGACCTCCCACTCCCAGCTGGTACTCCCCACTGTCCAGCCTGCTCAGGAAAGGCCAGCCAGGAGGGGGAAAGTACACACTTCCACCCTGGTCAGGGCCTTCTCCCATGTTCATCACCAGCCCAGCTCCGCCAGAACAAGGCCCAGCCTCCTTGACACATGCTCCATGAGGACTCTCGGGCCACAAACCTTTCTCCAACAGAACAGATTCCACCCCCTGCACCCCAGCTGTCCTTCTGCCCAGCCACCCCATCCCCCAAGGGGCTCTGTCCGCCAACCTCTAATCCTCTCTGTCATCTGACCCAGGCTCCACCCTAAACTGGCTTTGCCCAGCCACCCTTCTGAGGCCCAAAAATGGACACAGTCATTTATAGAGGGTCCGACAAGCCAAACGCAATGGGAAGATGACCTCATGGCGCCCACAGGCCTGAGCTTCAGGCACACTGGGAGTGGCTGAGAGGCCAGCAGTGGCAGTAGGAGACCTTACAGGAATATGCTCCTCATGAGCCAGAGCCACATGCAACCCAGTCTTTGACAGTGTCCAGGGACTCAGCCTAGGACAAGGCATCTGGCTCACATCTAGTTAGGATTTGATGAACAAGGGACAGCAAAGTAGTACATGACACAAATCGGCCTACCCACAGGCCTGTTTTAGGGCTCCCAAATCAATCCCCCCAAATGCCCTCATTTGTTCATAAACACTAAGCTCCTATTGGGTGATTTACCTATTGGTAAATGCCCAAAGTGCACACATATGGATCTGCCCTAATCAGTGATAGAGGCAGATGGATCAGTGGATAACAGCAACCCAGGATCCATGGAAAGACACAGAGGAGACCTGGTTCAGTGACTCCCATAGAGATCCACAACACCAGAGGACAGGGTGCCCTTGACCACACTGTGACCCCCTGAGTCTCAGTGGATGTTTGAGCTGAGATGGGGTGTGCGGAGAAGAGAGGATGAACGATGGAGGGCACTTCTTCCTATATGAATATCATTTGACCCTTCCACCATAGCTCCTGTTATCCTTCGTCAAAAAATGCCCTCCTATGTCAAAAAAAGGAAACAGGAATTGTCCCGTTATTCATTGATTTGACTGAGGCAAGGTAAGGACAGTGGTGGGGCGATTGTAAGGCAGCAGGATTGAAGTTCCATTAGTGATGGAAGTTAGAATGGGTCCTGAACACCACCAGAAGATGCTGAGGAGGCAGCCCTGTGAGCAACAGCCAGCCTGTGACAGATTCTGAGTGGCAGGAAAAGCAAACAGAAGAGGTTGGTGTGGATTGAGGTATGGGGAGCAGGGCCTGCAGCTGGGCCGGGAAGGAAAAGGATGGAAGGAAGTCTACGTTCAAAGACAGCCATGATGCCTGTTACATTGCCTTGGCTTCTGGTGGGGTGAGGGTGCCTAACTACTACCCATGGGGAAGAGAACAGCTGTGGCACTAAGCAACTGCAGTTCCAAGAAGCCCAGGTTTGGGCAGGGCCTAACCTGCTGTTGGCCAAGTCCAGCATCCATTGCCCACCAGTTGTCAGCCAACTGCCCAAGACCACAGAATAGGGGTTGAAGAGGGAGCTCAAGCCAGGCAGGAGCTCCCAGGCCGCTGTGAGCCAGCGACACATGGCCACTTACAATAAGGGGACACAACTCATGCCTACTTTGCCTAGAATTACATCAAAGATGATGCTTCAGAGAAAGGCAGTTGGGGCAAAGGGGCACACCAGGAGCAATGGGGAGCAGGCAGGAGATGGACATCAGCAGAAGGGGACAGGGAACCTGTCTCAGCGAGCTCTCAGATTCCTATTCATCTTCCTCCTCTTCTTAGGATCAGGAAACAGGCTCAGGCCCAGGGCTGCCTGCTCCAGGCACCTAGATGGATTAGCCAGTCATGGGGAGGAGGGGGAGCAAGAGTAACTGCTGCTATCCCTCCAACCTGGAAGATGTAAGTCTTCCCAGCCCCCACCAAGCTATTCCTGGGGCTCTAATCCCTCCTCCTGGGGTGGGGTAGGGGAGCTGGGGCTGGCCAGATCTGGAGCCTGGCCCACAGCCTTTCCCTCCACACACAACCCACCTCCTTAGCCCAACCACAAGGATAAGCACTGGGACTCAGGGAGACACAGGGGAAGCTTCCCCCAACCCCCCACCCCCAGCGCCATCACGTGACTGCATCCTTAGGGAGCCCGCAGGTCTCAGCTGCAAAAGTCATTGTTTATAAACAGCCACAAGGCCTGCTGGGGAAGGCCGGCTTGTCCCTGGGTCCCCACCCGGTCCTCCACGGAGCTCTTGGGGGGCTACCCTGGCAGAAACACGGATTCTACATTCTCAGATTTCAGTAAGAATCGTCAGGGGGAAGTGGCGTCAGCAGCTGGCGTGATCCAATTCAATAAACCAGAGATGGCTTGGGATAAAAAGCTGACCCGGCAAGGACCCCCCGCCTCCCAATCCCTGCATTTCCTGCACAGTCAGGGTGCCCCAGGAAGCCCCGACACCATCCCCCCGCGCCAGCTGGGAGTCACTCTCGGCGAAGAGGGGTCGGATTTCCTGCGGCGCCCTACACGCCCCTACTCTGGGACAGGTCTCCACCCGGCCGGCCAGGGCTACCAAAGCCAGCACCGCCACCCCCTCCCGGACAGCGGGAAACACTAAGCCCCTGCTCGAACAAGGGGACCTCCTGGAGGGGTGCGCAGCCCTCTGCTGACCGCGGAGCCAGGCAGGAGCTCCCAGGCCTCAGGCACCTCGCAGGAAAAGAAATCCGATCCTTCTTTCGGGCCAGTGGGATCGAAGGCGGAGAGGTGGTGGGAAAGAAAACTGCGGGCTCCAGCACCCCCGGGTTGGGAAGTAGCCTTAGGAGTCCGGGGCGTGCGGTAGCCCCGGGCTGGAAAGAAATGCTCCCTCCCTTCCCCAGAGTGGGCCCCTCCAGAATTGCCCGCACGGGCTTGGAGAGCTGGGGGTCCCCACCTTGCCTCCCAGCCTCCCAGCCCTTGGCTTCCAGGGTGGGGTTACACAGGACCAAGCGCAGCTACGGGATCCCAGAGCGTGGGCCGCCCCTTCTCCGCAGGGGAACAGCGACTGTACAAAGCGGCCGAAGGCAGGGGAAGGAGGGGGTGAGCGGACAGCTGCGCCCTCCCCAGCCCCAGCCCAGGTGGGGAGACAGAGAACGCGACCCGAAGGGGGAAACTCAGAGCGTCGGGGGTCGCAGCCTAAGGACCCCTGGGCAGCAGCCGTGCGACGGCGACAGGGCCCGACCCTGGGAAGTAGGGGGACAGGTGACCGAGACACCGGTTCGCTCACCTTCTCCTGCGCGCGGGTGAGCTTCTTCTGTACATTGCTGGCGATCTTCCCCGCCGTCACCCCCTTACTGCCCATCTCTGCCATCGCGGCGCCGGCCTCGCCTGGTGGCGGGGGCCCTATCTTGCTCTGGGAGGCCGTGCGCGCCGCGCTCCCAGCCCCCAGCCCCGGCCGCGCGTCCGGCCCCGGCTCCTGTCCACGCCGCTCACTAGTCAGCGGAGCCGACTGACGGAGGCGGAGCGTGCGTTGGGCTAGCGAGACAGCGACGCTGGGACCGGGGAGGGACGGACGAACCAAGGAAGGGGGCAGGGAGGAGGGGCTGGGCCTCGGGCGGCGGTCAGCTCCCCCTGCCCGCCCCCTCCGGACAAGACACTGCCTTTTAAAGGGCCACCCCTCGCCGGAACCGCACAGCCTTGGAGGAGGGAGTCTGCTTCGAGGACGCCGGGTGCTGCGGGGAGAGGTACTCCCAAAACGCTCCGGTGACACCGCCCCGGGGCGGGGCCTAACACGACAGTCTGGGGTCCAGGACTGCCGCGGGCCCGACGCTTTGGTCCTCTTACCCAGCAGTCACCTCCTGCAAGTCTGGAGGATTGAGAACTTTCGAAAATCAAAGATAATGTGGTGTGGATTGGTACGTGGTCAAGGAGCCTCGACTGGAAGAATATGGCCCGAGAGTCCAGCCTTTCGGGGGCTCGCCTCCAGCTGGATTCCTAAAGCTCCGCCTTCTCGTTGCTGGTAGCCGCACAAGTCTCTCTGCACGCCTGGGGCACATCTCCAAGTCTTTCCCTGGCGCCTAGCCCTGTGCCATCTTAGGGCTCGGTCTTTCCAAGTTGCCAGTAATCGTGATCATAATAACCATCTAACATTACTGCGCACTTACTGTGTGCCTGGCACTGTGCTAACTGTTTTGACAACCATTATTTCCTTCAGTCTCCAGACAGCCCTATGAAGTAGGTGTTGTTATTCCCATTCTACAAACAAGACATTAAGACGCCTGAAACAAGATTTCTGACCATGTGCCTGGTTCTCCACCGCTCAATACTGAGTTGTTTCCTAATTCCTGCAGACGGGAAAATAATTAAGGATCATTTTCATGGAGAAGACATGATTATTGTACGCCAACTTTGCCAACAGACCAACGTCAGTTTTTATAAATTACAGAATTGGTTCCAGGACCTCAGCAAACTCCAAACCCTATGGATGCTAAAGTCCGTTATGTAAAATAGTCTAGTATATTTTTTTTAATAACCTATACATATCCTTTCTGGGTAAGTTATAATACCCAATACTTGCAAATGCCAAGTAAATAATTGTTATACTGTATCGTTTAGGGAATAATGACAAGTGGAGAAAAAAGAAGTCTGTAACATCTTCAGTACAGACACAATGTTTCCCCTTGAATATTTTTGATCCAGAAATATAGAACTCACAGGTACAGAGGATGAACTGTAATAAATAGGTACATCCACTACCCCCAGAAGTACCAAGAACTGTAAAGAATGCTGCCCTGGAAGTTTCTCAGAAACTATGGGCTGAGTTTAACAGAGACAAGTTAGATTCAGCTGTCCAGAGTATGAACAGGAGCCGGAGGGAGCCACACATCAGTCAGAGGTTCAGGCCTGGCCTAGGGTGGGGGGTCTCGGGACTGGGGGCTCCTGTAAGAAGGGTTCTTGCAAACTGCATGTGAAGCCCCTTGTACAAATAGAGACACTGAGGCCCTGGAATAAAAGATCCAGCCTACATTCATACAAGTGCATCTCTCTTTCCTGGGAGGCTCTCCTGCCTGCTCCTTAGTTGCTCCTGGTTCTTTCCCCGGCTTCTTCACTCCCCTGGTCTCCCTCCTGGCCTATTATTCTTCCTATTCTACAGAAAGACAGCAGGTTCAGCAGTTGCCTCACTGTTGAAAGTCACAGAGATCGCAAATGACAAGCACAGATCCAGCCCTCAAAACTACCAGCACTGCGTAAATAGAAAGCATTCTGTCGAATCTATTATAAACTTGTGCTTCATTCATGAGCTCCTAAAACATGTCAACAGCCCGGGTTCCTAAGGCGGCTTTCTCTTGAAAGCTCAACATGCTTTCAACTCATGGTTCCTCTCCACCTAATTTTAAGACTGTCAATCATTCTTTCAAAATTATTTTTTGGGCTGGGGATGTAGCTCCATGGTAGAGAGGTTGCTTCACACGTATGAGGCACTGGGTTTGAACACTCTGTGTTCCATCTTCAGCACAGGGGGAGGGGAAGTGATTTCTTCCAGTGCTCCTCTAAGGAGAGGAAGAAATGAGCAGAAGTCAAATTCTGTTATAGTCAGCCCCCCGGGAATAGTAGGAGATTCTGCTTGGCTGGACATTGGTGTTTCAAAATATCACTTGAAGGAAAAATAGGAAGCAACTGAAATGTTCATCAGTGTAACAGGGTCAGTCATGACTATACAGAAATCAGAGGGGCTATTAGGGAATCATTTAAAATAACCATGACAAAGACTATGTGGCAATATGAAAATGATGCTTATGGCATAGTTATGAGTGCAAAGAGCAAGATAGGAAATTGCATATGCAGTACCCTTACAACCATATAAAAATTAATTAAATACTCAGGATCAAAAGATTCAACCATGCATCAAAATAGAAAGTAGTTGCAATAGGGTCAAGGCATTGTGGCTGATATTTTCCCCCTTCATTTCCTAAGTATCCTAAAATATATTGCCTTCATCAAAAGAACCACATGTCCTTCTATTTTGAGACAGTGTCTCACTAAGTTGCTTAGGGCCTTGTTAAATTGCTGAAGCTGGCTTCAAACTCACAATTTCAAACTCACAATCCTCCTGCCTCAGCCTCCTGAGCTTCTGGGATTACAGCATGTGCCACCACCTCTGGCCCATGGCTCTATCTTTAAAAGTGATTCTTTATCTAATGTCTAGATCAGACTTCCCTAAACAGAAAAGCATTGAAGCATATATGAAATTTTAAAATGATAGTTTTTAAGTGCATAAAAATTAAAATTTTTGAACTTCAAAAACTGCAGTCCACATGTAGGATAAAAGTTTAGAAGAAAATGCTTCAAAAATGTTAATACAAATCAAAGAGGTAGAATTTAGGAGATTTTTTACTTTCTTCACAATTTTTTATAATATGCTATTTTCTTTTAATCGGGATAGGTCATTATTTTAAATATCCAGGGGAAAACTTTCCATTTTGAAGTCTGACATTTAAAAAATAGTGTAGATAGAAATAGTTTTTAAGTTCATTTTAAAAACAGCAAGAGCCCTATTTATAAATGGTAAAATAGTACAAATGGATAATTCACAAAATTGGATATTTGAAAATTAACAAATAGATTTTTTAATTTCACTCTTTACCAGACAAAAAGAGATGTTCATTAAACCAACAGATACCTTCCCTGACCTACTTTCATAATAATTTCTGTGTGCATGGTACTGGGGATTGAACCCAGAAGCGCTCTACCAGCTACAATCCTTTTTATTTTTCATTTTGAGTCAGTGTCTCACTAAGTTGCCCAGGCTCTCCCCAAACCTGTTATCCTCCTACCTCAGCCTCCCAAATCACTGGAATTGCCGGCTTGCACCATTGTGCCCAGCAACTGATTTTTTTTTAATTATCTTACTTATGAAAACCAGAGAGACAGAAACTCTCACTCACTGCTTCTCAGAGTACAAACAGATACAAAATTTCTAGAAAGCAGTTTGCAGTAGTCAAAGAATCATCAAAATATTCACACTCTTCAACCCTACAATCCCAAGTCCAGGAAATGATTCAAAAATTTCAGCAACACTTTAACCACACAGATGTCCACCACATTATTTAGAATGGTGCAAAACTGAAAACATCCAATATGCTACCATCATCATTCTGAATGGTTAACTAAACTATGTGTAATGTCATACATGAAATGTTTACCAGAACGATAATGCTTGTGAAGTTTTTCGTGATGGTAGAATAATGCAGAATAGAACCAACCACTAACCAAAATGCGATTGCTATTTCTGGGTGGAGTAATTTGGGAGGGAGGATTTGGGGATTTGTTTGTCTTATTCTTTGTTTTTTTTACTTTCCCAACTTTGTATATGTCCTATTTTAGTCATCAGATAGAAATGCTATTAAAAATGCGAACTGAAATGAAGAAACTCTCCTAGAACAATAATTGAGAAACCATAGATGTGGCAAAATAGAAAGAGAAATCTCAGAGTCAGAGAGTATATGCCATGTGTTTGAACTTCAAGGACTGGAGAAATTATGTTTGCTTGTTTGTCTTTAGTAAACTAAATATTCTACAACCGTTTTTAAGTTCTCAAGAAAATTGAGTGGAAGATACAAAGATTTCCTGTATCCTCCCCTCAACACATGCACAGCCTCCCCCACTATCAACAACCCCACCCCCACCCCCAGTGGTATCTTTACTGCCATTGATCAACTACATTGGTACACCATTGTCCCCTGAAGCTCATAGTTTACATCAGGGTTCACTCTTGGGAATATACATTCTGAGAATTTAGACAAATGTATAATGACATATATTTACCATTAGTGTATCAAACGAGTAGTTTCACCACCTAAAAATCCTTTATGGTCCACCTACTCATCTCTACACCCTCACCCTTTAGCATTCACTGATCTTTTGACCTTCCCCATAGTTTTTCCATTTCCAGAATGTCAGATAGTTGGAATCACACCCATGTAATACATTCAGATTGGCTTCTCTCACTTGATAATATGTATTTAAGTTCCCTCCATGTCCCTCTGTGGCTTGATAGACTGTTTCTTTTCAGCACTAATAATATTCCATGATCTGGAGGTAGCAATTTATCCATTTACCTATGGAAGGACATCTTGGTTGTTTCTAAGGGTCGGCCTTCATGAATAAAGCTGCTGTAAACATCTATGTACAAGTTTTCATATAGACCTAAGTTATAGACTCCTTGGATAAATATCGAGGAATTCAATTGCTGGATAAATGGGAAGGGTATGTTTAACGTTGTGAGGAACTGACCAACCGTCTTCCAGAGTGGTGGGGCCATTGTGCATTCACACCAGCAATGGATGCCAACATTTGGTGTTGTCAGAGTTCTAGATTTTGGCCATTCTGGTACATGTGTGTGTCGGTGTCTCATTGATTGGAAAGTGTCTGTCTGCCTGTCTGTTTTTGTCTGTTTAAACCATGAGGAACACAGGCAAGCCAAAAGGAGTCCTCTTTTCCCTTGGAAAGAAAACAGCATTCCCCCATGTTCCCTTTTATAATTCAAGAATTAAAGAATTAAAGGCTCTGAATGAGCACTATCAGCAGCAGCAGCAGCAGCATAATTCTCTAATGAAGCAAGATTTCTATTATTTATACATTTGGGGCTGTCAAAATAATCCTGTGTTTGACAAAAGCAGGATTTT